GCACTATCTTTATAAATAAATAAATATAAATATAAATAAAAACACAAATATAAATATAAATAAATAAACAAATAAACAAATAAAATAAATAAATATCTTACTAAGCATAAGAATTTGCATATTTTGTTTTAGTTTTTTTTTTTCTGTGGGGTCTCCTTGCTTCTGTCTCCACTATATAAATAAATAAATAAATATAAATATAAATAAAAACATAAATATAAATATAAACAAAAATACAAATAAATAAATAAAATAAAATAAATAAATATCTTACTAAGCATAAGAATTTGCATATTTTGTTTTAGTTTTTTTTTTTCTGTGGGGTCTCCTTGCTTCTGTCTCCATTGTCTCTGTACTTTATCCAACACAGCAACGGCCTCACCCCACCGCCCCAGCCGCCCCAGCAGCTCAGCCCCCTTAAATAAAAATAAACAGTAGGCCTCTAAACCTACAAATAAAATAAAAAAAAATAAATAAATATAAATAAATAAATATAAATGAAAAAAGAAAAAAAGAGAGAGATATTGATGTATGTATTGTATATATATAGAACGACCCAGAAGCTCAGCCCCCTTAAATAAAAAATAAACAGTAGGCCTCTAAACCTATAAATAAAATAAATAAATATAAATAAATATAAATAAATAAATAGATATAAATAAAAAAAGAAAGAAAGAGAGAGAGATTGATGTATGTATTATATAGATATATATAAAACGACACAGCAGCTCAGCCCCCTTAAATAAAAATAAACAGTAAGCCTCTAAACCTACAAATAAATAAATATAAATAAATAAATATAAATATATAAATATAAATAAATATAAATAAAGAAAGAAAGAAAGAAAGAGAGATTGATGTATGTATTGTATACATATACCCAGCAGCTCAGCCCCCTTAAACAAAAATAAACAGTAAGCCTCTAAACCTACAAATAAATAAATAAATAAATATAAATAAATAAATAAATAAATAAATAAATAAATATAAATAAATAAATATAAATGGGTGAATATATATAAATAAATAAATATAAAGAAATATAAATAAAAAAATAAATAAATGTAAATCGATGGGTAAACAAAAAGATAAACAAATAAAACAACCAACAAAACAAAAGCTAAACAAAATAAACAGACAAAATAAATAAATAAAATAAATAAATAAATAAATAAAATAAATAAATAAATAAACAAAACAAGCAAACAAACTAAATAAATAAATAAATGAATAGATAAATAAAATAAATAAATAAATAAATAAAATAAACAAACAAATAAAAAATAAATAAATAAATAAAACTATAAACCCTCACCCGCAAAATCCTCAATCCCCTGCAGCTGTAGTTCTTTCTTTACATTATTATATTTTATTCTTTTTCTTTTTTCTTTTTTCTTTCTCCCCTTAAATACACCCAACATTAACACCCCTTTCTTCTCTCCTCCTCCATCCTCATCACCACCATCACAAACCCACTCAGGGGCCCCTTGGGGGGCCCCCTATCTCTTGTGCTGCTTCTACTCTTCTTTGTTGTGTTTCTTTTTGTACTCTGCGTGCATCTAATTCACATTCTGTAACGAGAGAAAGAAAACGAGCAGCAAGGTTTGCTGCATCTTCTATTTCTTCTGTTGCTGCTGCTGCTGCTGCTGCTGCTGCTGCTGCTGGTCCTGCTGCTGCTGCTGTTGCTGTTGCTGCTGCTGATGCTTCTCGTTGCGTAAATGCTGCTTGTATTTGTCTGTATTGACTTTCTCTCTCTTCCGCGGGGAGAGGCCTAAAGAGAAAATAAATAAAAAAAATAAAAACAAAAGGAGACAGATATAAAAACAAAAGAAAAAGAAAAGGAGACAGAAATAAAAAAAAAAGAAAAAGAAAAAGAGACAGAAATAAAAACAAAAGAAAGAGAAAAGGAGACAAAAATAAAAAAAAAGAAGAAAAGGAGACAGACAGAATGAGAGAGAAGGAGATAAAAAAGAGAAAGCAGACATACATTTATTTATTTATTTATTTATTTATATAAGTATTTATTTATTTATTTACTTGTTTATTTATTTATATATATATATATTTATTTATTTATTTATTTATTTATTTATTTATTTATTTATTTATAGAATACCTCGGTATAGTATCCTGCTGCCATAGAGCAGTGAAGGAGACAAAAGGAGACAGAGAGAGACAAACAAATACAAACAAATATAAATAAATAAATAAATAAATAAATAAAATAAAATAAATAAACAAAATAAATAAATAAATATATAAATATATACCTGGGTATAGTATCCTGCTGCCATAGAGCAGTGAAGGAGACAAAAAGGAGACAAAAAGAGACAAACAAAGACAAAGACACACATATATATATTTACTTATTTATATATTTATTTATTTATGTATTTATAAATAAATAAATAAATAAATATATAAATAAATAAATAAATAAATAAATATATACCTGGGTATAGTATCCTGCTGCCACAGAGCAGTGAAGGAGACAAAAAGGAGACAAAAAGAGACAAAAAGAGACAAACAAAGTCAAACAAAAACAAACAAAGACACACATATATTTATTTATTTATTTATTTATAAATAAATAAATAAATAAATAAATAAATAAATATATACCTGGGTATAGTATCCTGCTGCCACAGAGCAGTGAAGGA